GATAGAACAGATCAAAAGGAGGAAGATGGCCTTCTATATCATCCTCGTCGCAATAACAATTGATCTTGGTCTAGGAAGAAAAAAAGGCGGTGGCACAAGACAGATACGCTCCGATTAGTGCAACCAACCCTCAACCGGGTTAGCAATGATGGACGCACATTCTTCGGGATAATAATTTTCGATTAGCCAAATGCTAAAGATGACCTAGTCACCCAAGGGAGGCGCAGCAAAGCATGAGGCCGGAAGGAAAGGCCTAAGAGGCTCAGTTGTTCTTGGAGGCTTCTTAAGTTCTTGGACGGGGAGTGAGTTCCCCGCAGACGAGAAGAGATTCGACCATTACCTAGGCACTAAGGCACTAAGGCCCTAACTAGGCATGATCTGGGAACTGCGCCCACCAGCCTTGCCACCGGCCCACCATGATCTACCCACCGCACCCTGGGCAATCGGGCATCCAACTCGACTTATATGCTTCAACGACAAGTCGAATACTGGATATTCCTGGCTGGATGAAATTCGAATCCATCTCTTTCATCTGATTTACTCCTATCAACAGTCGTCAAAGCACCACGATTAGAAAGCCGAGGGAGTTTTCTATCAGTCTGATGAGAGAGAAGAAAAAAACCGGCCATTGCCCAAACAGGAAAAGACTGGCAGCAGGGATAACACGCCTTCAGCCGTGTCTGCCAATGTCTGATCACTTCTTTTGCCCGGTGTCAGCTAGACTATCTACCCTCTGGATGGTTTCTGACCGGCTTCCAGACGGGCTGAACTTTGTCCGGGCTTCCTCGTCCATCTGATCCTTCCATTCGTCGAATAACAATGAAGCATCCAATAAGCCCCTCCAGAATACTTTGAGAGGGAACTTGAGCCTCAATGTGCAGGACTCGGTCCTCGTATTCCGGGGTCTCCCTGATTTGTCGCAAACACCGCACGCTCATCATGAACTGAATGAGGGAGCGATAGACATTCGACAAACACTACATTTGTCTGTCATGTCTTGCACAATCATCCACTAACTAACTACTAATGATAACCTATCTACAGTCAATTTGGACTGTCGACGTTCTTAACCGAGGCGATGCCCGATCATAAACCAGTATGATTACGCGCGTCTGCTAGCCTCACAAACAACACAATCACTGCTGGAGTGTTGGGGATTTCCAAATCCTCTTCCTCCTCCAGTCTCTTTTGAAGAACGACTCGACCTTTCTGCGTCAAAGATTGACCTAAGACCGAGTCTAAGGATTAAAGTCCGAACTATAAATCGTATCCAAGGTCACTCTTGTCTCCACAAACAAATCAAAATTAATATACAGATTCTCAATTCACTTCTTACGGACAGTCATCGATATTTTGTGATACCATGCCTAGTTATGCCTGCAATATCCCATTTATCGACAGTGCTCAATAGAACGCTTGATACCCCCGATGCTGCCAGCAACGCTCTGCAGGTCATTTGTGCCTGGCCAGTCTCTGGCCAGTATGGCCCAGGAACAAGGATTTTGTATGTGGCCTTCCTCACCCGATATCTTTGGACTCTATAGTATCCACTGCTTCATGAGCAGCTTTTGTTGATATCTCTCTTCACGGTCTCTGCTATTATAGGTACTATGTTCTTATAGCAACCTGCGTCTTTGGTCGCAGAGCGGAATGGCTCAGGAATGCCTGTCTTGCCGCTGCACTGCTTTTCCCGGCCGTTGCAGCCCTTCATAGTATTGTACTCGCGTCACTGCACATCGATGGTAAGCCCAACCTTTGTGTCTGGTATATCCTACATCCTAACCGATGGCCTATATTGTTTAGCCGCTGTCGATATGGACGTTTTTGGAGCTTTTCAGCTTTGCTCAATCGGCATCTTGACTGCCCCAGTCACCGTTAGACTATCCAAAACGTACTTCAATGAACCCGGCCGGAATATCATCTTTCTGTGGACTGGCCTTATTCTTACAGGTAAGTTTCCCATCCGTGCAGTGCTTGTACGCCTCTGGTAAACTTACCTCACCACAAAGGACTTCTGAGCTTAACAATCGAGTTCTATCGTATCAATTCGCATCCCTGCACGGTCAACGGTCGTCCGATATCTAGGGACTCCAAGGAATTTATCTATGGTACGACTATGTGTGATCTTACTTGCTCCGTCGACGCTGGCCCATTCTCCCCTATGCGACAGGGCTCGGCAAATAACATCTACGTTATCCCTGCACCTGAGAGGCTTACATTTGGCGCTGCGACGCTGCTGGCTGCTGCATGCTGCATTCCAGCCATCCTCTCGCTCGCGTCCATGTGGAATAAGATCCTTGAAATCAACTGGACCAGGCGGTTTGGCAATTCGTACCGGAACAAAAGGCAAGACGAGGTCATTGAGGGCACGAACGGTGCAACGCTCGGGAAAATGAACAAGGTCAATGAAATGATCAGGTCATTCCTCAGTGTCGTGGAGGTCCCCATATTCGGGGCAGCAGTACTCGTCATTATTATCATCGGCGAGCGGAACCTTTTCAGTGATCAAGTCGTATATCAGACTGAGCCAATGAAGAGCATAGGTAGGCTCTTATATCTCATAGAGATAGACCAGTTTCTGACTTGTGGGTAGGTCAATGGGCCCCGATTGTTGGTGCCGGCCTTGCTGTACTTGGGTCGCTCTCGCTCTTCTTGGCAGCAGCAGTGGAAGAGCAGGAAGAGGATGTGGAGGAAAAAGCTAGCAGCACTCATCCCGGTCCTCTACCTAGCGAGCGCATTATGGGTGTTGTTGAAGCGTCTCGTGTCCAGGACCGGCCAAATTCTTCCGGCAGCGACAAAGATTCCTCGATGGAAGTGGGACATACAATGAGTCGAAATAGTAGATGGCCACTGAAGCGCTCTGCAACCGAAGATCAGGGCAGCCGGCGCAAAATTGCGCGAACCCTTTTTGCCGTCAGCAATTGGATGAGCAACGCAGCACATGATCGGTATCAGAACTCCGAGTTCAAGAGCGGGCCAGCACTGCGATTTCCAGAGATACCCGGCGAGGAAAACCGGAACGGCGATTTGAACAAGATAAGGAAGCAGTACAATCGTGGTCAAGACATAGACGACGTCGGCACATCAGGGTCTCCCGATCGGCTTTCGCGGACGCCTAGTTTCACTGGCAGCATTTCCTCTCGGCGAGATTTCGAGGGTAGCCCGCCAATCCCAAGGACTGCCTCCCCAGCGCCGAGCGTTGGTGGGAGATCGCAGACTAGCATGTCGCAGGCGGATCGGAGCTCGTTTGACATACAAAATCCTTCTTCTTCATCCGGAAATGCCACTGGAAGTCGTTCACGAGCCCGGGGTAACACGCTCGAAGTGCCAAAACCAGTTTATGCCAGTGGTGGTCGGATAAGATCATCCACTGCTTCAATTAGGGCAGTTGAAGAGTCATCAATGGGAGACAGCTCGCCTATAATCGTGGTGTCTCCAGATCCTGACCCGCCTTCCCCTGGGTACGCCCCTTCATCAATCCCACGGACACCCCCTTGAGTATGCGAACAGTTGTTGGCATCATGTAATAGTCTGCCAATCACAAACCGAGGGGTTTTAAGGGCACGGTTGGCTACAGGCCAGTCACACGATATGTCCGTCGTGTCCCCGATTTCTTCGAGGATGACTGGTCGGACCTGTTCTGTACCCATAACTACCATGTCATGAGGCAAAGAATGCTCCGAGCAAGGGTGTGTTATCGATACATTCAGTGCCTCGTTCTGCCCACGCGGCTCGACGAAGCAGGCTCCAGATCCCAATCGGGCGACGTTGTCGAGATTCGGGTCTTGTCCTGCAGCACCACTTGTCCTTCTGAATAGTCGAGCCACGGCGTGAATCTCGGCGGCTCACGGTTCAGTCCTTTGCTAAAGCCACGGATTGGTCAGTCCTGTGGCCGGAAGCACTTTTGTGTTCTCGAAGGGGACAGTCTGACATTACATAGAAGGAACGGGGCTTCTGAAACTATTTCATCTGCCTCACAAACAGACTTGATTCACCGGATCCTCTTCATTGCATATTTCAAATCATTGAATCGAGGTGGTGGTTTGTTGGATGGGGGCACATATGAGCCAGGTTTTATCAACGTGGAAGTATTAAAGGAATCAAGTCATATATAGCGTGATGAAGTGATGAACAAACCTGTACAAACACATAGGAGACGTTTAAGACAGCAGATGGGGACTGTCCACAACAGATGACTCAAGTCCAAATTGGCTCAACCCAGTGGTATCTGCTGATAGTCAAATGCAAAGTGTGTAACCCAAGAGTAGCGTATCATCTCTTTCTTGTCTCTCCATTACTTCTTCTGCAACTTGACCTGCAGTCCCTTGTCTCAGAAACGACTCTCTCAGTCCACCTTTCTTTCCCTCCCTTTTGACTATGCTCTACCTACCGACTGCAGTTACTGTCGGCTAGTGCTTTGGAGAGCTCCGATGCTGCATGTAGCCAGGACTTCCAACTTGGTAACCTGGTTCATCCTGCAATCGTGCTCTGATATTCCCCATCTCCCGTATGTGACTACGCCTCTACAGCAGATAGTGTCTTGATTCAAAGCGGCCTCGGGAAGCCTTTCCCTCAACAAGCCATTTCTCCCTATGACGAGCCACTACCGACGATGCATCACAGACCTCAATCTCATCACAAAAAACCAAGTTTATCTCATGATCAGATCATGAGAATACTAGTGTTTTGTGCAGCTACTTGATTGATGGATCATTAAACATTACTACGAGCGAGGGCATCAAGTAGAAAAGTCCAAAAGCTCATTATTATGTACGCAGTAAGCACATCCATATGTTAAAAGTCCATCATAGCAATGCAGGATATCCATCGTTAGTCATCAAGCCGGTCCAGTCCTTCTATATAACCTGGGGGGTATAGCGTGGTTAAAGAGGTGCATGCAAGGTACGCCAAGTTCATCAACCCAAGACAAGAGAAAAGAAAAACAAAGTCATTAAAATGAAAAGTGGTCGAATGGTTCGAAGAACAAGAAAGGTGATTCATCAGCATAGAGCAGTAAGCACCCACTTCCCCTTACTATCACGCTGGATGATGCGTTCACTGATAGCCCAGTTCCGTAGGGCGATATCCTCGGCCTCCTCGAGAGGAGTCTCATCCTTCTCGAAATGCCGTCCAACATGGTCCATACGGTCATTCCAGCTGTGCGGGCCGGAAAAATTGTGCCCACAGAATCCACAGGAACTTTGTTGTGGCGGCTTGCGTTGCTCGTGCCAGCAGCGGGCGCGGACATCCTCGAGACTGGCCTCGAAGGCTTGCCGTTCCTGCTCGGTGGCGGCCTCGGCCCGGCCCGCTAGAACCCAGGGTGCGTGCATGCGGCGCTGGTGTTGGGTGAAGAGGTCCTTGCGGTTGAAGTCGTTCGTTTGGCGGACGGGTCGGTCGTGGTGGTTGCGGGTGGAAGTTGAGGTGTTTTTGTTGTTGGGTTTGTGATTGCCGTTGCAGTTGCTGACGTCGCAGTGGAAGAAGCCGAGTTGGACGTGCTGTGAGGCAATGTGTCGCTTCCATTCGTTCTTGGAGACAAATGTGCTTGTGCAGCCGTAGCGTGAGAAGCTGCAGACGAAAACGCGGCTTGGTGGTGACGGGCCCTTGGTCGCTGACTTGGCAGGGGGTTGTTTCGAGGCTGACGCCGCTTTAGTGCGTGACTTGACCCGAGTCTTCCTCTTGGTGACGCGGTTGGGTGATGACTGTTTTTGAGGGGTGCAGTGAGACTTTCGTCGTCGAAGGGATGGCGGAGGGGTTTTGCGACTCGACATACTATCCAAGCCACAAGGATGAGCTTGAGCTGCCGCGGCTTTTGCTCCCTCAGAGAAGTTGTTTCCCTCGTAAACAAACGACTGAGCTGGCGCAGTTAATGGAAGGGATGGTTCCACCATCGGCTCAGGGTCAGGATAGGTTTGTATCTGAGGCAATGCGACCGAGCTAGTGACGGACATCACTGGCGAGGAATATCCTCCTGCCTTGGCTGAGGAACTTCTCAGATCGTCATAGGCGTAGGGTGGGGATGGGTAGGATTCCATCATGTTGCTCTGCGCAAAGCTCCCATCACAGCTGCTGCCAGGGCTCTCTGCGCCAGAAATTGAGGAGTAGTCGCTGCTCCAAGGTGACGCGAAGCGATTCTGTCCCAGGAGAACAGGATGAAGACCTGTCTCCGTCAACGACAGAGGACCGGAAATGTGCGGGGAAAAAGGTCCGTCGGTCCAGGACGTAAACGTGGGGAAGTAATGAGTCTTAGGAATGTCCTGGAACTGGGACAATTGCAGCTGGAATTGAGCTGCGTTCGGAAAGAAGGCTGGATCGGGGCAAGGGTCAGAGGAAGGGTAAAGCTCGTAATCTTCAAATGATGCACGATTACCGAGCGTGATGGGAGGGATGTCGGCATAAGCGTTTGACTGCATTTTTGAAGGACGTCCAAGGGCCTGTTCGTCCTTGGACCGAGTATGGACATGGGAGACACAAGCACAGACAAGAGACGACTTTGATTCTTTATAGTCTCTCGAACGATAGGGGCATCCATTTTCAGCTCGAGGAAGTTACAACCCAGCAAGATATATGCGTCATGCACTATGCAGGAGTAGTCAATGGGGCGGCGCAGGAGGGCAAGACACAGCACCTCCAGAGCATAAACCGCGCCATCCTCTGATTTGGTGGAGTTGAGCCGCAAGAATAACCCTTCGACATGGTCGTTCGTGTCCCCAAAGCAGCTCGACTCTCATTTGTCACCGCGGGTATGGGTCGATTGGGAAAGGAACCACCCTAGATGACAGGACCAGTCGCAAAGCCCCTGCGGGGCCCAGGGAAGATGGTCATTTGGTGGACAGTAGTTGACCACATGGAGTGTCGAGTTGGGTTGATCCGTTGAAGATGATTAACTTCTCACCCACCCCCTTTTTTTGCTTCTCAATTTCTTTATCGTCAGCATCTTCTGTCTGTAAGACGGTGAGACCCCTGAGTGACCGCCGGAAAGAGTAAGACCCATCGGCCGCAAGAGATGGAAAGATACCGGGATCAGAGATGTAGTGCTCGTGGTTGGAGGACTCAGACACATGGGACTAGGGTCAACATGGTTCATTGGTTCTCGAGGGCTTTTCCAGTCCCACCTGGGGAAGCCCTCCGAGTCAGTGTCGGTCAGGCTCGGACATGGCTCAGCAGCGTCAGCGGCGAGCGCTTTCATCAATAATGACACCAAACCATAATCTAAATTAGTTTGAACGACTGTGTTGTGGATGCCAGATAGACCACTTTAGCGCTCGAAGATCCATATGGAAATTCAAACCATCTTTTTCAGTAGATATCGCATGTCCACCTTCCACTATGCATGCAAGAACGGCTCACAGCCCGCTTCAGTATTTGATGAGGAGAGATTGCAACCGACTTGCAGTCGCCACCGTCAAGCACGTTAGTACCCGCGGGTGATTTGCTTTTTTTTTTTTTGCCCTGTTGTTGCCCAGCGCCCAACGGATTCATGGCGGAGAGAGAGGCAGACCGCAACAAAAAGCAACCACAACCAGTGAGAGAAGACATCAGCCCCAGCGATAGGCGGTGTTGGTCGTCCTGTTGGATACCAGAAAAGGTCCAGGAACTGCATTAGCTCGCTGGGGCCGGGATGACAGCGGGGGCCAAATCCTCTCTCATGACTCGAGGACAGTGCGAGTGCTTGACTGGATCAGGAAAAAACGCAGGACCATCGCAATCATATCTCGGTCAAGTGGCTCACTGTGGTTGCCTTCCGGTCCAGATTCCTCGTTTCCTCTGTGTTTGCTTTTTCTTTTTTCTCCTTCCCGTTTTTCGCAGTTTCTGGGCGCTCATGTCGCCGACACGCTAAGATTCAGCCTACCTGTCAGGGTGCTAACTGCCGTTATCTCCTCGTTTGTGCATCACAGATGAACAGAATGCCATTTACGGAGTACAAGGATCAACATCATCTTTGTGCGGCTGTGCCAAGGGAACAAGTCCTTACCCTGTTGATCTCCCTTAGTCGAATTTGCTGACTCCACACTTTCTTGAGTTTCTGCTCCAAGCCTCAACAACGTCGTTCTACATCACAGTCTAGTGTGGTCTTCAGAATAAAGTCGGAGAGGATTGACATGCTGGCACAGCATGACATCTGAAGCTTCGGGGCTGTGTTCATTCCAAGTTGAAAGCAGGAATTTGTAGCCAAACATTGCTGCGGTGGTGATGGTGGATTGAGCCTGACAAGGCACAAACTGACCTCTTGTCATGTGACTATCTACACTGGACAGGAAGTTCTCTGATGACTCTCTTGCAGTTGACATAATGAATGATGAGATATCACAAGATAGATGCAGTAGGTAGTTCTGACAGCTATGTTCAACTGACAATACTACTCCATACCGACTGTTAGGTCACTATTCAGTTAGGGTTTGTCTCATTGATTGTATACCTCCTCTGTCCCTCCTGTATTCACACACCTAGGAGTAGAGATTCAGACTGGATATTTCCCTGAATAGGAAACCCACCAAGTCATATCCTAAGATCTTCATGGAGAATACAAGACTCGAATTCATGACAGATTGAGGCTTGTCCCAAGGTCATTGATGTGATCATCAAAGTCTGATTTACGCTATCTTGCTGCATGCGAGATTGATATTGTTTCACATTCCAAGGACAATCTAAGTATCGTGATCCAGGTCTCGTGCTGGCAATCTGTGGTGTACCTCTGGCAGTCTACACACACACACACAATGTCTCCAATCAGAATTCGATTCTGTATTCCCTGATATCATCAAAGCATCCAGACAATCTATCTTGCCATTTGTTATTAGTTCAGTCGCTATTTTTGTGGCTTAACAAAGAATTCTCATGGAAGGTATGTTATGCTTGAGGGCTTGCATTTGACGTCCATGAAGGACAAATGAAATGATAAGGTGCAACTTCTCGCGCCGAGATTATTTTATGTGTCTGGTTTTGAAGCCTGTGTGGGTGCTTCAATTTCAGTGTATGCTGCACACAGATTCTCCTATAATTACATCCCTGATTCAGGATAGCGGTCCTGTCTAACCCAAACATGAACTGTTCATTGCCTTGGTGCCAAATCATATATTCATCTATCATATCAGCCGTGTATATAAACTGCAGTATAAAGCCTCTAGCCAAAGACAGTGCTGCAAGTCATGCAAGGTACATATACATCGGAAGAAGCACAGGTAAAGAATGCGAATAAGTCAGGCTCCTCTCCTACTCCTCCTTGATCTTGCGAGACCTTTTCTTGGGCACCCGAACGAGCCAATACAGGAAGACCGCGGCAAAGATGTTGAACACAATGTACACGAACAACAGTCCCACATTGCGCCAGCGGTCCGAGTAGTTGATGTTCAGTTGTGCCAGGAAGGTATCCGTATCCGCCGCTGGACAGACCTGGCAATTCGCCGTGGCCTCCGGGTTAAGTAACCTGCCACGAGACATCTGTATATATGCATCCAGGAAGCTCGAGCAATTCTGACCTTGCGGGGGTGGAACGTGGAGGATCTCGATGTCAGAGCACTCGACGGTGGTCCCAGCTAGACCCACTGACAACACGGAGGACACAAGGTACGTGAATGGTGATACCCGGTACATGAAAATCCAGAAGCCCGGAAGGGCCGTCGGACTCGCTAGCACACTAAGTCAAATGTTAGCAAGAAGTCCAGTCGTAGCTGTCTTCTTCATACTTCGAGGGGATCCACTCACCCATTGAAAATGAGACAAAGCGAGAACAACAGCTGTGCGATATTGCCACCCGTCTCTGGCTGCTCAATGCCTGCAATGATCATCGAACTGAACGTGGATGTAAACATCATGAAGATAAGAATCAACAGGAACATCGTGCCACCACGCTCAGTTACGCTGTCTGTTGGATACGCATTGCGATAGAGGCCGATCGGATAATACCAGCAGAAATATGCTGGCACGGCCATTAGAATGTTCCAGGGCAATTCGACCAGGATGCTCGCGAGCATAAACGCCTTCCACGAGTACGCCTTGGAGGGTCGTTCGCGCACTTCGTATAAGGCTCGCTGAGTCACAAAGTACGGCATCATCTGTTGAACCAAGTTGGGGAAGATGACTAGCAGCATGAAGATAGCGAACATTTGATTCTGCATGCCTTGCAAACTGGTCGGCTCCCGCCAGAACGTGAAGCCGATGAATAGGGGCTGGGGCGCTGATAGTCAGACATCACGGCTTCATCGTGGCTCAGGAAGGAGTGTCACTCACCGGAATGATACACGTTGCAGCCTTTGAATATATGTACGATGGACTTCGCCAGTATTGCTGGAACATGCGCTGAAGACAAACAAGGAACTGCGCCCAGAGAGGCATAGCGAACTCACCATACTCCTTGGTCCGAGTGGGCGGAGGTCGCTGTAGTAAGTCCTCTTTCATCTGTGCTAGCTCTGCACGTACTTGAGCTCGTTCCGGGCTGTTATTCCAGACTTCCGGCCAGTCCCGGTCCGCATGAGAACCGGGAGCTGCACCGATGACTTCCAACATCCACTCGGCAGGGTTAGCGTTCTTGGGACATTTGGGAGAACCCTTATTCTCAAAGTACTTGATGAGGGTCTCCATGTTGGGACCCAACTCGCCAAAGTATACCGTTTTCCCGCCCTTGGCGAGGAAGAGCAGGCGATCAAACTGTTGCATCAGAATGGCCGATGGCTGATGGATGGTGCAGAGAATGGCCTGCCCATGGTCCGCCAATTTCCGCATCAGAGTGCAGATTGACCAGGCTGTTTGGCTATCAAGACCGGAACTAGGCTCGTCAAAGAAAAGAAGCACGCCGGGCTTGGCCGCAATTTCGACTCCAATCGTCAACCGCTTCCTCTGCTCGACATTAAGACCTTCACCGAGAACTCCAACAACAGCCTCCGCGTACTCTTCCATGTTTAGCATCTTGATTACTTCCTCGACATAGGCTAGCTTCTCTTTGTGCGGTATGCTAGCTGGCTGCCGGAGTGTAGCACTGAAGATAAGAGCCTCGCGGACAGTACTGGTTTCCAAGTGCAAGTCCTGCTGTTGAACATAGCCAGTCTTACGTTGAAAGGAGTCATCCCTCATGCGGCCGTCAACTAGCATCTCGCCGGTGATCACACCCATGGTAACACGATTAGCCAGGACGTCCAATAAGGACGTTTTACCAGCCCCAGTCACACCCATCAATGCTGTCAACATTCCTGGTTTGACCCACCCATCGACATGATCCAGGATACGGCGTGTCTCTCCTTTGATTTTGATGTCGTAGCATACGTCTTGCCAGTGGAAGATCGAGGTTTGCTTGACGATTGCAGCGGTGCTGTCATGGCCCGCATTCTCAAGCTGCTGCTTCTCTGAGATCGGAGCTCCTTCCAGATCACCATCGCGCTGGGCCTTCTTGACAAATGCAGGTATCTTCCCTCGAGGGAAAACCAAGATTTCTCCCTTGGAGGGTTTGGCACGGACCAACTCGCTGCAGATGATGTAGGCAGCTAGGAAGAAGAAAAAGAAACCTAATATAATGCCGTAATTCCGCCAGAGATGCGAGCTGTAATACCGATATGAAGTATTGATGAATGCGTCACCGTCAACATAGTCTTGTCCAGCTACGGCGCCCTTCTGAGAGCAAATTTTTGAGCTAAGAGGAACGTTCTCGTAACCTAGGCCAGTGGGCACATATAGAGCGCAAGGGAATTGTCTATCACTGAACTCGTTGATCATGAGAGACTCGAATGCATACTATCTTCTGCTTAGCTGAGCCTAAGATGCTGAAGCAAGGAGACGGAACTTACACCGATCGGATTCAAGTAGTTCAGCCATTTGAACCACGGATGCATATCCCGTACTGGAATCGTGAAGCCTGTGTAGATGACAAGAATCATCATGAAAATAGAGGAGGGCACCATGGCCTGCGCCATCGATCGAGAGATTGCTCCGATCCAGCGAAAGATATTGGACATGGTCAGAGTGGTTGTTACGGAGAACAAGTAGAAGACGAAGAAATGTCCCGGGGTTCGACGGAGGTTGGTCATGAAATAAAGGATTATATTGAACACCACGGAAACCAGAAACTTGGACGGCAAGTCAACAATCATAGAACTGATGGCTTCCGCTGAAGGATGATAGAGTGCGTATTTGTCATGCTTCTCTACAATCGGCCGTTGCTGCCACAACGTCAAAATCTCTAGGGAGCTTGCAAAGGCATTCAGCAGGATTGCGAAGAAAAGGAGTGCACCACGGGAGAAAAAACTGTTTGTCGTTTCGTCCAAGTTGAAGAACACGCTGGAGACGATGAATGCCATGATGCTATTGCCAATGACGGTTGCCAGAGTCATGCTCATGTCACCTTTGAGACGAAGAAAGCCTCGGCGGAGACACAGACGAATTTGCATCGGGTACGAAAGAGTGTAGGGCGAAGGCGCTCTGGTACCTTTGGCCTTTTCCGCTGCGCGAGAGACAGTGAACTCCTCGTATTTGCTGCCACCCAACGGAAACTCATTCTGGAATGCTTCAATGTCGGCCAGGAGCTGTTGCCGCTCCGCGCTTTCCCTCCACCGAGCAGCAAATTCATCAGGTGTTCGCGGGACGAGGGTTTCAAACCCTTTCCGGACCAATCTCTCGGAAGGACTCGTCAGAGATGTCAAGAAGTCACCGGTAGTTTGCCTGTCCGGGCAATCAAACCCCATGTCAATGAAGAAGCGCCTCGCATCACTGGCTTTGCCGAAATATATCTGGCGGCCTTCATAGACCACAATAACCTTGTCAAATATGTCGTAAATGGCCTGACTAGCCTGGTAGATGGCTACTATAGCTGTTGACCCTGTATAATCTGTGGACAAGCGAAGGTTCTTGACAAATTCCAGAGCTGTGGAGCTATCAAGACCTCGGGTGCTGTTATCCCAGCACTGAAGGGGGCTGCCGCAGAGGGTAGTCTCAGCAATACTGACCCGCTTTCGCTCGCCTCCAGAGACGCCTCGAATGTATTCATTTCCTATCCGTGTATTCATCGTGTGGGTTAGGCCCAGCATGGCCATGACGACGTCCCGCATATGCGTTGCATATTGTTCGCGGGAAACACCAGGGAAACGGTTTGCTGGCGCTCGAGCATGGGCGGCAAAAAGCAGGGTCTCGCCTGCAGTGAGCTGTGGAAAATGAATCTCGGTTTCCGCCTGATAGATGACCTCGCCGCGGAAGCGACTGTGCATTTCATCCCACGAGATACCCTGGTATTGAATGTCGGTTCCTTCATCCAGCCATAAACCATGAGTTTCTCCAGCAATCGTCTTGAGGAAGGTTGAGCAACCACTGTGTGCACGAACAGTTAGGGCCAACCGAGACGTTTTTTTCTCCATTTGAGAAAAAGGACCCTGGCTTACCTTCCTGGCCGGCCAAGCACAACAAGCATTTCGCCGCTGCGAACAAACCCCTCAAAATTGCGCAAGATGTCAATGCGAACCTTGTTTCCACATCCGAGAATATTTCGGAGCCATCCGAACCCTTTGAGCCACATGTTGGCTACATCGGCCTGGTAGTCGGCTGCCGTTCCGTAACCATAGGCATTCAGGTTGCGAAATGAGACGCCTGCGGTACGACGGGGGTATCGAACTGGGTCGCGCAACGTAATGTGCAACAAATTTTTCATCCATTTGCGCGAATTAAATTGGTCGGAATTGGGGTCAAGCTCGGGGTCGCTGGAGGGGTTGAGGAAGGTGTTGGTTGGGTCTTCGGTAGCACTCTTTTGGGATATATGCGAGAGGCTGCGCGCCAGAGCAGTAATCTTTTCGTGCCCTTCCTGATCAATGCCGTCATCGGAATCTGCCCCCGCAGTGTCGGAACTGTCTGCCTTCTCTCCCAGTGGCGTCTCCACGATGCGATCTTCTTCAGCATGATTTGTTTGCCGCCGGATGATACTTTCGACTTCCTGTCCCGCACTTGACGAGACAGCCGCCGCCCCGAAAGGAGCTGGAGGGGCCGGTTGCATCGCCATCACCGCAAGATTCACACAAACGTCCCAGATGACTATACTATTTGGTCATGACAGGAAAAAAGAAGACGATGAGGGACTAAAATATGCCGCGTCTCGACCCTCGCGACGAATCAGTAGAGGAAGCTAGTAGAAAGAATCAAGCGCGATGGCTGAATAGGGGAGTGAAAGGAAGGAGCGAACGATAAACAAGCCATCCTTGGGAGATAATCAGGTAAACAGGTGGCATCCATGGATGTCACTACCCAGGAAACACAACCACAACCCAAGCACGGAGAGCGGATAGAAAGATATCCGAGCCCGGGAAGCATAAACAGAAGAGAATCCGATGAGAAGAATAGTCAGGAATAGGATCAAAGCGAGGCCGAATACGCGACTCTGGCTATGGTCGGACCCTCCAGCTAAGGTATCATCAGCATCATAGCATGACTCCATGACAGTCAGCCCACCAGTCAGTGCCACTCAGTGCCACTCAGAAGTCAACAAGAGGGACATCGAACCATCTTGGCAAGTCAGCAAATTTATCATGGGTCATGTGGGTTCCGTCAACTTCGGTGCCCGGATCTAAAGTAGTGGGGTCCCGTCCACGATTTCTGGGGTAATTAGTTACTAGTACCTAGTATCAACATGGAACTTGGAATTGGGATCCGGTGTACAAACAGCCAATGGGTGCAGCATAATAACTGCTCAGCAGTACAGAGTTATAGGAGCTTAACCATCAGAAGCGGAAGCATATCTAAATCCCTCTCTCTACTTCACATGTGAACCCATGAGCAATGGCCTCCCACAGAACATGAACATCGGATATTTAATCACATTAGGACTAAGGATAGCGCTAGCCCTCAAAACAGCAATTGCTGCTCCGGGCTGCAGTCCATGGCGAAGTTTCCGTGACTGCTGATTGGCTTCGTATTGTGTGCGTATTCGCAAATTCACCCGAGCAGGGCTACTACATACTAACCCCTTTAGGTAATAGTCTTGTTTCGGGCAGCTACCTATGGTCCTACTACTAGCAAAAACTTGAGGGCAGTCTGATCTGAGGTTGAAGAGAACAACATAGAGTCCTGCAGTGCTGCCAGTATATTGGACAAGCAGAGTCGATCTCACCTCCTTCGTCCAGCAATGATGCCTTGTTCGATCGGTCCTCTATGCTTGCTGATATGACGAGTGACACAATCTGGACTGATCTCTTGTATTAGCTGTGTCCAGTCGTTCTCAGCTTGTTCTGCATACACTCAAATCAAGTAACGATGCATTGTAGCGATTTTATGTACTTTTTGGTACAGAAAGCGCGCTGTGAGTATCTATCCTGTCAATTTTTGCACATCTTTTGCGCCTCTCCTGAGAAAGGCAGCCTTTTCCTTTTATAGACTCCGATGAGGATCAACATTAAGCGATCTTGGCAGCATGGCTTAATAGTGGAGCTCGATTTCGTGCTTATCGATGTTAATGGGCTCAAAACCATCAATGCTTTGTCTTCAAAGGCATGAATTTCTCTTTGAGCTTGACGACATCGAGACGACGTTGTTGTTTTCAATTCGGACACGAATGCTTTGGAAACGAATACTGTCGAACTCCTGCCCACACGCTGCATATATTTTCTGGATCACAGCAGCTACCTAAACCCGTCATGTCATCTCCTGCATGTTCTGCTGCAGACAGTGCAACGGTGATAGATCAATTTGATGATGTTGAATCAACCTTGTCAGCCCCATGCGAGGACCGGACGCTGCTGGACTCGACGGACGAAACTTGGGTACCACCCAAAGGCTTTCTTTGGGTTCAGATCGGTAAGCACAACAGCGAGAAACCACTGAAGCTGGAACTCACGGTCATTATCAGCTATCATGTCGAATGTCTTCCTCTCCGGATTCGATGGCACCATCACGGCATCAGCGTACGCAGTGATTAGCTCGGAATTCAACGCCGCCAACACTGCGTCGTGGCTCACAACCTCTTATCTCATCACTAGCACCGCCTTTCAACCTCTGTACGGTCGCTTTTCGAATATATTTGGTAGGAGAGTGTCCTTTTTCACCGCCACCATCACATTCGTCATTGGTTGTTTGGGTTGTGGTGTTGCGAGGGATATTGTCTTGCTGAATATGATGAGGGCTTTGACGGGAATTGGCGGTGGAGGTCTAATGACTATGGGTAAGTCGCATCATCTTGAGCTGGAGGACAGCACTCACACTGTCCAGCTACAATCGTCAACTCCGATCTCATCCCGTTCCGACGTTGGGATATGTACCAGGCTCTGCAAAATGGCATGCATGGCTTCGGCTCAATCTGTGGTGTGTCTTTTGGTGGCTCGATTGTCGATACGATTGGATGGAGATGGTGCTTTTTAGTGCAGGTTCTGGTAGGGCTATTTGCATTGATTACAGGCCATCTTGTTCTGCATCTTCCGCGGTATAGCCAAACTTTTGGACAAGGGCAGAGTTTTCGGGTGATACTGAGACATGTCGATCTATCGGGAGCTCTGCTGCTTATTCTTGGCCTTTTAAGCTAACTTCTTGGCCTGAGTCTGGGCGGAAATGAGCTTCCATGGTTGAGCATTTGGGTCATACTCTCACTGGTGGCCAGCTTGATCCTTTTGGGCCTGTTCATGGTCGTTGAAGCGAAGACACTGGTAATTCCTCTGATCCCGTCAAGGATGCTCCGGGGGATCATGCCTGTGTCCACTTGAATTGCTAATGTCTGTGTTGGAATGGCTGCGTATGCAGTGAGTGGACCCCTGCTACTGGCTTGGCTTGGCTGGAGCTAACTAGAGGCAGTTTCTCTTCACTCTCCCTCTCCTATTTCAGGTGATCCTGCTAGACATGCCTACCACAGCCGGGGCAAGATTAGCCATTCCCTCTTTGGCCACTCCGATTGGCGGTCTGATCTCTGGCGTCGTCATGTCCCGCTGGGGCAGATTGGCATACCTTGTGCGTGCAGGGTGCTTACTGATGTGCATTGGAAATCTGCTCGTGATGTCTATCCAATTCCACGATGCTGGGTGGAAATACCTCACCTACGTGATTCCAGCCAGTCTTGGCCAGGGGATTGTCTACCCCGGAATCTTGTTTACGTTTCTCGCTGCATTTGACCACACCGGTAAGTTGAGGGCTCTACCTCATTGGAGGTTCCGGGCTCTTAATTAATTTCGATTAGATCACGCGGTGTCTGCATCCACTGTCTACCTGATTCGGTCTCTAGGGACTGTCTGGGGCGTTGCCATTACTTCAACCATTATTCAAAATACCTTACGCTCAGGCCTTTCGAAGGCCTTGAGTGGAATACCAGACAAACAGAAAGTAACACCCCTCAAATGGAGCATCAGTGAGACATGAAGCATTGGCTGACCCTGGAATGATATTGTGATAGATTATCGAGCAAGTTCGACACTCCGTTTCCGCCATACGCGACCTACCCCCTGACATTCAGATGGCTGCACGGCTGGTTTACTACAGAGGTATCAGATTATCTTTTCTTGCATCTGCCAGCTTCGCCTTTATCGCGACCCTTGCTGCTTTGTTTTCCAAGGGCAAGGGGTTGCAACGGGGGAGCTCCGCATGATCCTTGGAGCGTCCTCCGGGGTAAAACCACCAATACTTTATACCGGGCTATCATATCTTACATAGACGATGCAGGGGAAAAGGTAGGTTCTGCCTTCTGCAGTACGTCGTTGACTAGCTGAGGCTTCGTTGGATTGGGAAACAAGGTTCAAGATCCATTCGGATGTGAAGAGAGGATAAATACGCTTGTAGCCATGTATGAGGCTAGTCGCCAAGAATAGGTATGGAGTACACTTGTTCACAAGCTCGAGTGCAAGTCCATTTACGCATCACAAAGGTGATATCAGAACGGCGGAAAGGTCCAATTCCGCTCTGCGGAGCAATCCCGAAGGCGTGGTAACCCCGCATCCACGTTGCTTCGGAGATGATGCCTCAATTGACGTATTCCACTGAAGGAAAGATGAGCCTTTATAGGTCTGTACTCTGTACTCTGTACTCTGTAGATCTATAGGCAATGGATAGGTATTGGTCCGTTGTCCACATAACTCGCCTTACCCAGATAAGGATGGGTCTTGCGGTGGCAAAGTTGAAAGAACGTCCATGTGGTATCTACATCCCAAGTATTCATTCAACAGCTGGGCGACTGACATATCGATTGATTCAAGATCAAGATAATGCACCCGCTCTCCACATTTTATCAGACGGCGTATCCCTTTCCTCCGGAAAATTAGCTGGCTCTCTTGAATCTCTTGAATAGCCACGACGGGTCAATTGGGATGGAAACTCGGAACCAAACCGTAGCCCTGAAGCTAAGTTTGGGCGAGCAAATCCACGGCTGGCTTGACCATTGATGCCGACCCCATGGACCAACCCTGAATTTGCGGGGAAATTGGCTTTTGTCCAGACCTGCAGCTGTCGTTGAGCCAGTAGTTGCCGTCCGAATTCGCCATCCCTTATGCTCCCCCGCAAAATCGTTGATGATCCTTTTTCAGGCGACAGGCTGAATTCCGCTTCGTTCCGTCCGATCCACTCTTTTCTGCGTTTGTTGAGATAGTAACTGGAGTTTCTGCCATGCAGGCAAAGCTTGTTGGAGAGCGCGTTGATAACAGGCTCGGAATTCGATAGGGCGTTCCGACATCGTTCTGCTGGCTATCTGACCTGGTCAAATGGTATCAGCCATTGCATAATGGGATGTTGGTAAGGGTTAGATCATCTTTATCACTCTAACTCACATCAGTGGATGCGCCTATCCTGTCAGGTTATGGATCTCAATGATGTGGCGGCGATAGGGTTGAGGGGTTGTTTGAGGAGGCGTGACTCGTAGTCCATATAGAAGTCACTGGCCTCCTCGTCCCTTGGGCTTCCACCACGCTTCATCGTACATCTTCCAATCCATTATGGAGACAGAAACCAAAAGGACAGCCTCGTATTCCAAACCACACGACAATGGACCCCCCGAGATCGAACTGGCCACCGGCCAGGTCGTCATGGGCCTGCCGGACATGCCCATGAAGCGCAAGTTCAGCATCCTCAGCATCATCGCCGTGGGTTACAACATCTCCAACAGCTGGGTCGCCATCGCCGCCAGCTTTGCTATTGCCGTCCAGTCTGGAGGCGCTGTGTCCTTGCTCTACGGCATCGTCGCCGTCACTGTTGCCATGCTGTGCACGGGTGTCACGCTCGCGGAGCTGGCCAGCGTCTATCCCACCGCTGGCGGACAGTACCATTTCACCTCTATTCTGGCTTCTGAGCGATGGAGCCGCAGTCTGTCGTACTTTAGTGGTCTCGCGGCCGTGTTCTCGTGGATCACGCTCGCGGCGTCGATTGCGGTGGCGGCAACGCAGGCGCTCATGGCGGTTGTGATCCGTTGGCAGCCTGAGTATGTGCCTCACGCGTGGCATTATTTTCTGGTGTATCAGCTTTTCAACGTCATCATGGTTGTCTACAACATCTTTCTCACCAACAAAACCCTCTGGGTTTACAATGCGGGCTGTATGTCCCCCCTCCCTCCCGTCTACGAAGTAAATTGCATGCTGACATCCTCATCCAACAGTCCTCCTCTCCCTCGGAACGTTCCTCGCCATCACCATCACCTGTCCCTCCCGCTCCCACACCGAGGTCGACTCCTGGGCCATCTGGACGCAGTTCGCCAACGGCTCCGGCGGCTGGCCCAACGGCATCTCCTTCCTGACCGGCCTCTCCACGCCGCAGTTCATGCTCTCCGGTCTCGACGCCACCCTCCACCTGGCCGAAGAGTGTCTCGAGCCGGAACGTATCGTCCCCAAGGCAGTGCTGGTAACCGTCGTGGTCGGCTTCCTCACCGCGTTCCCCTTTTCCATCGCGGTCATCTACAGCTACCGCGACGTGGAGTCATCCCTGTCCTCGCCAACAGGGTGCGTCTCTACCTTTTGCGCCCCCAACAATCACAATCACAGCCACTGACGTAAAACATGTCCAGATTCCCCATCTACTTCATCTGGGAAAAAGCCACCCGCTCCCCAACAGCCGCAACAATCTTCATGGCCGCCCTCGTCGTCGTCTCCTGCGTCGCCTTCACCGCAGTCCACCAGACCGCATCCCGCCTCACCTGGTCCTTCGCCCGCGACGATGCCCTCTTCTTCTCGCGCCGGCTCGCATCCGTCCATCCCTCCCTCAACGTACCCGTCTACGCCCTCCTCCTGAACGGTCTCCTCGTCCTGCTCGTCGGAATCGTATACGTGTGCTCGACCACAGGTACGTGTCCGCAGTTGCAACTAGCTCCAGCTCCAACCCTCTTCCTCTGGAGATAGAAACTAACGAGCGCAGCCTTCAACGCCTTCATAGGCACCACCGTCGTCGTGGCGCAGATCTCCTTCGCTGTCCCCGCGGCCTTGCTCATCTACCGCCGTCGCTCGCCCGAGTATCTCCCGCCGTCGAGGCCGTTCAGGGTCCCGCGTGTGGTGGGGTACGTATGTAATGCGATGACGATTGTGTGGGCGGTGGTGATTACGGTTTTCTTTACGTTTCCGACGACGTTCCCGGTTACCGGGGGGAATATGAGTATGTCATTTAACCCTTTTTCGTCTCGTTTGTTGTTTGTTTTTGATTTGGGCGAGGGTTGGGGCTAACTGGTGTAGATTATGCGTCTGTTGTGTTGGTTGTGATGTTGCTTCTGGGGGTGGTGAATTGGTTCGTGTACGCGAAGAGGCATTACCATGGGCCGAGGTTGGAGATGTAATTGCAGATGGATAATTCCCTAATTTTGCTTGAGTGGGTGTGTTATAGTCATACCGCTATCTACATAATGGTCTCCTTTACACCTTTCAGTATGCTGAGTAACGTAGCGATCACCCCTCTAAGCCTTGGTCTTCAGAACGGCCACGCTCAGATTCGGCAGGCTGAAGTTGAAGACACCCTGTTTGCCGGCCTGCAGGGTCGACACCTTGCTGTTGACCAGGTTGGCACCACCCACGGCGTTCATGGAGAATGCGTCAGGCGCAGTCAGCACGGTTAGTTCAGCGGCGGTGCCGGCCTTGACGCCGTCAAAGGTCAGCGAGACCGGCACGTCGGCGGTGCTGTTGTACACGGCCGCCTTGAAGATGTGGCTGTTGGTGCTGTTGTCGAGACCGGCGACGTAGTACAGGGGGCCGAAGTTGTCGGAGGATTTGGTGGGGAGGGTGTTGGTCATGTGGGTGTGAGAGAAGAGCTATGCTGGTTAGCATGAATGGTGTGGAATTGGTTGCGAATGAGAGGAGCATACATCATAGACGTGCCAGCTGGTGGAGCGGGCTGTCTGATCAGGGTCGGCGTTAAAGGCGATGAAAGTGGGGGACCACTGGTAGTTATCCAGGTTCATGAGAAAGGGTGCCTACTTCGTTAGTCTCGGTCAATTCAACGATGTGTAGCAACCTACGTAGGTCGTTCCGATGATCTTGTTGGCGTTTCTTTCGGCACCCAGAAGGAATACGGCTTCGGCGACGGACCCAATCCACCATGGGTAGAGGGAGAAGTGTGTGTTGCTCCAGTCAATTCCGACTCCGTTATTGTACTCCGTCGCTGCAATTTCACCTATCAAGTGTAAGCCAGAGCCATAGGTTGGGTTGTGTTATAATTACCAAGCAGGATTGGGTGGTCCTCGGAGTAGTTGTCGAAGAAGCCGAAGCGAGAGACAAAGTTGTCGGGAACATCGTACAGATGGTAATCGCCACCAGCCTCACCAGGGAGTGTCATATCAACGGTCGATGCCAGGACAGTAATGTCAGGGTACGTGGCCTTGATCGCATCATAGAAAGCTTTAAACCGGTAGGATGTGTAGGAAGACAGTCCGTTGTTCAGGTTATCCTCGTTGCCGACCTCGACATATTTGATGACCCAGGGTTCGGGATGGCCGACGGAAGCACGCAATGCCCCATACGTGGTCTCCACGGAGCCGGTGAGGAACTCAAGCTCGTTGAGGGCGTCCTGCACATACACATCAAGTTCGTCTTCGGGGACAACGTCGCCATTGAGCGCAAGGCCGCCCCAGACCGCAAGGACTGGTATTGGTTAGAGGCATTGTCATGTTCCTGACAGCAAATAACTTACTAGGCTCAATTTTCAGATCATCACACCACTCCATGTACTCAACCAGACCCATTCCACCGGTCTCCTGATACCCCCAAGTAGTGGCACGACCAGGACGGTCCTTGAGGGGACCAATGGTCTCATTCCACTTCCAGCGGCCGTCAATGGTGTCACCTTCAAGATTGTTACCACCCGGGAAGCGTAGGAATTTCTGCGTCGTTAGCAACTTGCCTCATAAAATACACAATATTTCTTACCGGACCAAAGTCCTTCATCGCTTGCATCAGATCTCTCCGAAGTCCATTTGGACGGTTGTTCCAGGTAGGTGGGAACAGGCTAATGAGGTTGAAGTCCAACGCACCGTCTTCAGCTTTCTGGATATAGACCGAGTTAGTAAATCCCTGTCGCATTGTCTTTTCGATATACTAACCGATGTATCAAAAGTGATGGAGAAAGTGTTGTTGGTATTTGGGGCAGCGCTACGAGGAACAAGGGTGAAGCTGTGCTGCACCCATTCGTCCTCAACACTATGCGAAGCAATCTTAGCACTGGCAAAGACTTTGCCTGTACTTGCAGACTGGAGCGAAGCTGTGAAGCTGCCATTGTAGGCACCCTTCACAAAGAAGGAGCCGGTGTATGTCTGGGGTCTGACATCGATGCCCCACCAGCCCAGATTGGTGAGACCAGCTTGACCCTTGCTGCCCTTAACGTTGACCGAGGTAGGCAAAGCAGATGACAGGGGATCAGGGAGGTTCTTGAGAGACAGCGTCGCTCCGTTGACAGCTGTCCACGCGTCCAAGTTTGACGGGTACTTGGAACCTCCCTGGAACGCACGATTGCGAATCAACTCCGCATAGAGACCACCTTCACCGCAGTGGTTGATTTCCTGCATTTATCATTTAGCATCTGTGTCAAAGCTTACTGGTGATCGATGAGGGATTACCTCTTCCATGATGCCGTACTGCAAGTTAGTCGTGACATTGCCCCCGGACGACGCAACGGAGATCTGAACGGCGGCAGTGCACGCTGCCAGAAGCGACAGGAGAAGAGACTTGGACAACACCATGGTATTCCGCTCTGCAGGAAGACACGCTGTGTTTGTTGTCTGCAGGTCCTATACCTGGTCAATTGGCAGGGTTATGAGCCAGATCTTGCAGATCGCGGTGACATTATATATGCGTCCATGGCGGGCCAGGGAAGGATGTCTCCTTGCTCAAGCATAATTCTACCCCTCAATTGAAGCTGCATCTGTGGGGTCGGCCCGACAAAAGGGCTCTGTCTGATCATAACTTGCATGAATGGCAAGGTATGAGAGCGAGAGGCCTGCAAGCTCCTGTTTTCAAACTTCCCGTTCTGGCAAAATCCCATGAGGGGGACAAGGGTGATCGTCAGGGCATTTCCAAGTCCGTAGCGGCAATTAGCCGGGTTGCATGATCAGATGCTAAATCATCTCGAGCAGGTAGATTCGTGACACTGCCGACCAGCTTCAGTATATCTGAGAGGTTTCGGCAAAGGCGTGAATTGCTCAAACACTGAGGAAAGTCCCATAGAACTTATACACAATACTTCCTGCAAACAAGTGCCTGTGGCTGGATATTGGCACGAAAATAAACTCTCTTCATCCCCAGTAGTCTAAATCGTCGTTGACCAAGGGAGGAGTTAGGGAAGGCCCAGACGGAAGTCCCCCGCATCGACGGCCCATTTTGCTTGCGATGGAATGTGCGAGACAAGAACCAAAAGCTAAATAGATGGTGCTGGAGCCTGGAGAAATATCGGAGACTCTGTCTTTAGATGATGACTAGTCTAGATATGAGCAATGCATGAAGGAATGAGGAGATTCGCGGAGTCTCCATGTGGGGGGAGACGGACTCCATTTCTCCGTCCAAGGGGTTGCCCCGAAAGCCCCTCGCGTTTCGATTGATTGTTGTGGTTATCCATAAGAGGCCTCTGCGGTCTTGTCCAAAGTCCAGCTTCGCCTTATGCTAGCTTCTTCACCATTCATCAACTTCACTTGCTGGCTCTCTAAGAGTCAGATCTTCGTGCTCTGACCAATTTCAGTGGCGTGACTTCGTACACAGTGCGGAAAGCGAAAGGAGAGCAAAGCACAATCAACTGACCACCGAATCCATGCCTGACGCTGTCTTGACAAACTATCGGAACAATCATGCCTATAGTCTATCATGCTCACTGCACTGCCGAGTCGTCCAATCGGATTGCAATCTATTAAGTCAACTACCATGGTCTTGAGGAGCTGGCCTCTCAATACGGAGCATCACAAATTACTCTTTCGCTGGCGTTTGACACCCGGAGGGTATGAGGCTGTAGCCAACATAGGTCGATACCGCAAGAGTCAGCTGTGGCTATGCACAAGATGCCCTGGTCCAGCGGGTTAGGACTCCGGCCTGAAGTTCCCATTTAATTGATAAGAGTTGGTAGCGGACCGAGAAAGTTCACGTAGTAATTAAAAACGTCGTACTAAAGGATCGGTATCCTCATCTGCAAGCACCTATTCCTGGATGATCGTATTTCATGAACGGAACAAGCGGCATACACAAAGATATGTAGAAACAGAAAACACCGAAGAGGACATCCCAAATGTAGATCGTAATAGATATGAAGGACCGAATGAGTATATGAATAGGGAAGACATTCCTCCCGCGTGTCTACAGGTCCAGCGGCACGCGATGTGGGAAGATTATCGACGTCATCGATCGTGAGGCTTAGCACATTTCGCAGCATTCGATACAGTCAAAGCAGCACTCGCAGGTCTCTTCGCAAAGGAAGCAGCAGCAGAGGGTGGCAAGACTAGAGGGGAAAGAGCAGCATTAGCAGCTGATTCGCAAAGATCAAATCCCCCGCGACTCAGGTCAAGCGAGCAAGACGAGTAGAGCTTACCAAGCACCTAGACATCCACGGTCCTTCTTCTGAGGAGCAGGCTGTGGTTGTTGCGGTGGCATGTACTGCGGTTGCTGTGGCGAAATATCAGATCTTCGTGCTCAGTAATTATGCGCTTGGGTTGCAACGTACTGCATACGGCTGCGGCTGTGGGGGATAGCCTTGCTGGTATGGCGCCTGTTGAGGAGGGTAATAACCTTGGGGAGCTTGAGGGTACCTATATCCACAACCCAAATTAGAAACTCACTTCAAACGCAAAATCCAAGCATGACATGAGAAGAAATCGTGGCATCATCTCTTCAGTTCTTTCCTGCTCAAGTGCCCTCTTCAACAGCGATTCCTTCGAAGAACAAAAGGCGTGATGATAATGACAGCGGAAGATTTCACACAAAGCGCTCCGTGACTGTCTTCGACAGAGTCCAAGAAGGAAGGGCGCAGCGAAGTTTCGAGACACCAAGCCGGAAGGAAATGAACGAAAAGGACTATGGGAGGTGGGAATGATAGACGGAAATGAGGCAAACATCACTTACTGCCCCTGATTGCCATGAGCGTAGTAGTCATTGGAACTCATGATGGCGAGGAAGAATGTACTGCAACGTTAAGAACGTAAAACAGTTAGTATGGATAATGACAATCAACGACGCGAGTGTTTGCGAGAAGAAAATCTACGCAACGAAGAGCCAATAACGGGGGAGAAAGTGTACCTAAGCAAATGCCAAGTGCCAACGGTTCGAGAATAGGCAATAAGGAGATGGGAAAGGGTCAAATAAGAGGAGAAGATGAGGACTCAAACAGTGGCTAGGGGTTGAAAACTGAAAAGGGACGAAGAAGCGGAGAAGGAGGAGAAGGGATCAGAGGAACTAGCCAAGCTAAGATTCGGCCCAAGTTCCTACAGATGACCACCCCAATGAGTTTTTTTTTAGTTCTTTTGACTATTTGAATCCTTCCACGATTCGACTGACTTCTCAAACAATTCGAGCCATTCTTCACTCATCCAGGGATCAGGCTTCAAAATTGTCCATCCACCCCTTGTTCTCCAGCTCTGGCACAATCATTTGGTGTTCCGGACCGCGGAACTGGATCGCTTCCCACGAGCGATTGGTACCCGTTCAAATCGTGGTTCTGGTAAGTGGTAACAGGGATGCCTAGAACCTCATTGAACCAACACATTTTCATTTCCTCAGAGAATCCGCTTTTTTCATGCCTAAGAATACCTACCAGTTTACTACCTAGGTAGCTACCTACCTATCAATTCGAAACCACAGCCGCCCTTCATGAGCTGAGCCACGGCAATATTACTAATAATACCAGCCCGGTTACAGCCCTACAGCAACAACCAAACCAGCCACGGCCGACGGTCGGTAATGAGGTCATCATTGGCCAAAATTCGCTCGCCTGCCAGATTGATGGGTCCGGTGGCCCACAATCGGCCGCCAGCGCTGCTTGATGGGGCTGGTGTGCCACTAGAAGCACTCGGAGTGGCTTCAGCTGAGTATGATCATGAATATTAATATAACAATAACCAATGAAAAATATGCTCTGAAAGATTGTCTGGTTCCCAGGTTTCAGCTATCAGCCAATCGTCGCTGTTTTCTTGGGCTGACGGTGGCACTCGTGGCTTAGGTAGTGTACCGAGCCACTCTGTCACCGTTACAATTTGCCGATTATTGAAGTGGAACATGTCTCGTTGCTGCCTTGGTACTCACCATGAATTGCCATTCGCCCCTGGTTCACTCACAAGTCACAGGGCGACATATCGCCTCTTGTCATGTTCTCTCCAGTCACCACACAGCCACCTAGGTGGACGATAGATTGTTGCAAATATTGACAAGGCTCCCGATTGCCTAATTGGGAAGACCTGAAGCTATTCGAATTACAGCAGCTGCTGGCTTTGGGAAGTACCTGCCAGATCAAACAAGAATAATGTAACTGTATCATCATAACTCAATCGATCAGCCATCCCAAACTGACGAAAACCCAACAAATACTCCAAAACAATCTTATCAAGATACAACACACCCATTGGGCGGCTTCATTTTGGGATGAGTTCGACGGCTCCCTCTCTATGACACTGTTAGAGGTAGGGCTTGCTCAAACAAGAAGGGATCACCGCAACATACCTGATATTCGTGCAGCTCAGTCATAGAAACCATAGTTTGTGGATGTTTAGGACCAAGGGACTGGCATTGGAGCCGAACACCATTCTGAAGGAGTTCTATCGCTTCGACATCTCGGTCTTGGGCCCATAGATTGTACGCGAGGTGTCTCATACTCAGCAGTGTGTAGGGATGATCCGATCCAAGCATCTTCTCTCTCCCTGCCAGTGCTCGTCGGTGCATCACCTCAGCGTCCTTGTATTTTCCTTGACCAGCAAGTGCTGAGCCCAGGTTATCAAGACTTGTCAAATTGTCCGGATGGTCGTCATTTAACACTCCTTGACAGCTAGTCAGTACCTGCTGAAGCAGAATCTCGGCCTCCTGGAACTTTTCCTGCCACAACAGGGCGACGCCTAGGTTGTTCATAGCTGTAAATATCAACGGATGGTCAGGCCTCAACCTCTGCTTATAGCCTATCAGCATCTTCCGGCAGAAGTCTTCCACGTCCCGGTATTTCCCCTGGTCTCTCAACACTGAGCCTAGCATGCTAGTAGTCATCAGCTCGTCGCGATGACCAACCTTTGACATTTTCGCAAACCATGGTAGTAGGGCCCTCCGCTGCCGATTTCTGCTGCCATATACTTGCCCTTTCTGTTCCTTCAACGACGCGGCCACAATGTTCATTTTAGTAAGAGAGTGAAAACAGTGATCCCCCCAGCACCTATCGATCCCTGACAATACCTGTTTCTGCAACAGCTCTGCCTCCACGTCCTTGCCCTGGGCAGCTAGTACTGTTCCTAGGTTGCCCATGCACCAAAGTGTGGTGTAATGGTCAGCCCCTAATATCTTCTCGGACCCTGCTAAGGATTTCCGAAGCATGACCTCGGCCTCCTCATGTTTTCCTAGGCTAGTCAGTGTGAAGCCAAGGTTACTCAAACTCATGATTGCCCAGTGGTGGTCGGCCCCTAGCAGCTTCTCAAAACCCGTTACTGCCTGTTGATGTAGAACAATTGCCTCCTCAGACTTTCCTTGGCCATTCAGCAGCGACCCCAGTAAACTGATGCTAATCAGTGTCGCAATGTGTTCAGTGCCAAATAACTTTTCTCTCAGCTTCAACGCCTTAACAGCCATCTCTTCCGCCAAGTCCATGTTCCTTGTTATCATGGCATATGATGCTGCATTATGGAGCAACATAGCCAGTGAGTCTTCTGTATCTAGCTGCTGAAACATTGCTAACTTGGTGTGCGGGAAGAGCATTTGACACTTTCCCCAGTCCCCACAATCCCCCGATGGGAACTCCCTGGCAAGACTTCTGATGAAACTTAGCTTCCACCTTTCGAGCTGTCCATGCGCCTCAAGCCATTTTTGCATGGCGAGCTGCACTAACCGATGCATCTGAAAGCTTGCAGCATCCGCGTTCACAGTGACGAATGAGAAGTTCCTTAGTGTACGGATATCATCCTCAAATCTGTCGTTCACATCGGATCGTACCAGACTGTTTGCGCTGTCCATCTTCCAGTTGTCGACCGCTTCTGAGTGTCTTTCCTGGTCGTTATTGCTACTTTCACTTTGACTGAAATCTTGGAGCAAACTCTGATGTATTCCTTGCCGATCAAAAAAGCTCATCAGTGCCAGGAGATTTGCGGCTGATGGCCGTTCCTGAAGTATGTGATCGAATGATATTTGCCAAGTACGAATGATAGAATTTCTGGCCTCCCAGTCTCGGCGAAGCTGCCCCTCTTCATGCTCAAGGGGACTCAGCTTTCTATAGTCGCTGCTTTCCAATTGTTGGAGATACTGCTTCACCGAGGAACGGGGAGCTCTCTGCCTGATGTAGGATGCTGCCTGGACGATTGCAAGTGGCATGTACTCGAGTGCCGCTGCCAGCTCCATAATGTCCTTTGGGTTTTCCGGTATCCCGAGCTTCGCCTCGAAAAGTGTTTGCGCGTGGTTTTTATCCATCGGGTCCACGGTGATGATGTCGCGTTCTTCGACCATTCTGAGCGCCACGGCTCTATTCCGTGTAGTCATTATCAAGGATCCATGCGTACTTTGGGGGAGATATGCCCCTAATGGCCGGTCCAGCGAGCGATCTTTGTCTCGCCCGGCTAGATCCTGACTGACCAACGGCGCGCGACGAAGGAAGTGATCATCATCAACATTATCAAGAATCAGGACCCATCTTCCCTTTCGGCCATCCTGGAGCCAGTCATGAACAAGTTGATAGATATTGGCCTTGGGATCCCTCCGGCCAGCGATTTTCACTCGGTCCGCAATCTCCCGAAAGCCCTGCTCGAAACGAGCTGCGTTGCTGGCATGGATCCAGAAAACCCACGTTTCCGGGGAGTGTTCCCGGACTCTATGAGAGTATTCGATAGCAAGCTGCGACTTCCTTTCCGGTGTCAGCACTCGTATACTCCTTTTAGGTGCACTTGTCTCACCCCACGCCGCCGAGGCCCACCAGTGCGGTTCTAGATGCTGGTGCCAAACATTTCTCGTGAATCTGGTCAAGTAGTGTCCCGCGTTCAACAAAGTCCGGGTCGCGACGAAAGGGAACAGTAGATAACGGACTCGGCGGTGTCTCGGGTCTTTCTGAGGTGGGAAATCATGAGCGAAGCCCAGTCATGATCGATGCATGACTTACCAGGTTGGGAATAGAAGTTTGCAGTGATGGGAGCATGGCTCATTCCCACCTGTAGTCCAGAGTTTCGCTCACCAAAGGTTATTGAAGGCTCCATGATGATTATCGCAGAACAACGAGGACACGAACATACTTGCACTTGGATATAGCCCGATCCTCTAAGCGCCAGCCTTACGTACCCCTGTAAACCCGGCGCTAACGTGGTACTTGTGCCGTTTGCTATAAAGACCTTATCATGTCTCAGCCTGTTGATGAAATTTCTCCTCTCATTGTCACCTATAATGGCGGATCCTCTTAGTATTACCGCAGGCATTGTCGGCATCGCCGTTCCCGCTCTCCAGGGTCTCAGACTTCTCCTACACGACTTACAAAGCATCAGAGACGCACCCGAAACCATCAGCAATCTAAAAGACAACATCCGCGCCATCGAACTGGCCCTGATCTCCCTCCAAGCCATCTCAGAACAAGAATGGGAGTCCCTCGGCACAACCGTGGCAGACGAAGCAAAAGCCACCATCGCAACCTGCACCAAAGCATGCGAGATATTCCGCTCTAACCTCCAGCGCTGGACAGGTCACTCTCAGGATGGCAATGGGAGATTATCGCGGCTCGATCGAGCAAAGGTGGGGATCTTCAAGCAGGGACAGATCAAGTCCATGTGCGAGCAGCTGCAGAGCTGCAAGATCACGATCAACTCCGTTGTTAGCATAGCGACGCTGTAGGTCGACTCTACCGGATACTGCACGTAGTAGAAACTGACTGACGAGCGATCACGGTGTATAGATACAGCTCCCTCCGGCATACCCACCTCACCGAGGAAATGAAGAAGACCATCGCGATGCGGCAGACAGAGCTCGAAGCCGCCATCAGGACAACGGATGATCAGATCGCTGATATCCGAACAAGGCGGGAGGAGATCGACCTTGTGGACGGGACCCAGGCAGCCGCAGACCCGGAGACTGAAGCAGACATGTTGAGACAGCTCGACGAAGAACACAAAACACTATATATATCGCGGAGACTGCTCAATGAGCTCATGACGAGAGTGCAGGAGAGTACTATAGTGAATGTTGTGGCGAGGAACGAGAATAACTCGACGCGTGTAACGTTTGGGAGTCAAAACTCTGGCCTCCAGATCGGTGTCAGCAACGGTCCCATCACCGGGATTACGTTTGGTCGAATGAGCGTTTGAATACCATGTGAAGCATTGATATGCGGTTTGGATTTCAAGATTTTATCGGCTGGATGCAATTGATACTGAGAAATGTGACGGATAGAAGAATTTGTAGAATGAACCTATCAAAACAGACCCGTATATAGAATCTCTTACAAGTAAATGATAAAAGCGACCGAGCAATTGCTAGCATGAGAATTGTGATCTTGTCGGCCCAGTCAATCAATCCATGACGGACTGTCTAAGCCTACTGGCAGACTAACAGTTTTCAACAGCAGGGTATCAGCTTGGTAAGATTTCTAATATTAACCATAATTTAGATTAAGCCGCGGATTTACTTGGGAATACAGACCCACGAGAAGAATTTGTACATTAGTATATGGTGGAGCAAGAAGGCTTGATCTCAGCGCTCCGTGCTGGGAGACCTGTGAAGAGTAGAATAGATCTGAAGACGAGGAGATATTATATGAACAGCTGAAGAGAAATTGAGATCGGAAGCAAAGTGTGAGATTACATGAAAATAGAAAAGTGGTCATGATGATTGCTGAAATCGAAATGAATGAAGAAATAAAGGAAAGAGCAAAGTCATTACAGGTCATCATACATACGAGTCGATCTCAGGCGGTAGAGTCTGAGAATCGAAATAACATGCCGTCTCAAGAGACGGGCCCACAGTCATCGTGTGGAGGTCAGAATAGGCGTTGTACCCATGGGCCAAAGTGGGCTCTATACCTACTTGAGGGAGGCTGTCAGCCGGTGCCGACGGCAACCCGCTGAAAACCACCTCATCCGTAGGTATTGACAATGGCACAGCTGCCAGGTCTTCTCCTGGTGTGTCCTGGTCAACAATATTTCGGGCATTCTCAAGAACAAATTCCTCCTGCTGCACCATCCAGTGCTTCAGTACTTCCATTGGCGGGTGATTCCCACCACCCTTACCACCTCGCTTCTCACTGTCTTTTCCACGTCCTCCCCGTCCGCGTTGGCACGGGTTGAAGTGAGTTCGACGGAGATGGGCAGCGGCGTTGTAGTTAGCACCGTACCGTTTCCCATTCCGACAAGCCTTACAGTTGGCCAGGAAGGTCTTGCCTGGAGATATATCCACACAGACCCAGACCTTACGGACCACCGCGTGCACCCGCTCAATATGTCTTCGCAGCTCGTGCTCCCCGTGGAAGCCATCTGGCTGGTCATTGCACATGTGGCAGTACGTTTTCGGGCGCGGAGGCCGATGTATCGAGGCTTTGGGGATGGCCGCAACTTCTTTCGAAGTGCCGTCCGACGATGAGATACGAATCATCCTATGTTGCTCCACCAGCTTCGCTGGAGAGCTATTGCGCGACTCAAGTTTCGGTGCGATAGGTCGAGTGCCCTGCACAATTTGTTCTTGGGTCCTCCGCGCCGCTCTTGACGGCTGAGAGACAGCCGAACTATTGCTTTCAGCAGACATGGAAGGTTTCATCTCCGTAGCAGGATATTCGGGGACATTTGAAGAGGGAGGGGGATAGAAGGAAGTTGAGGAGGGTGCTGAGCAGGAAAATGGAAGAGGAGCGGAGTCAGAGAAGGGAAAGGCGACGGAGTCCGAGGCTTGCTGACTTGAATAGTCATGAATTGGGACATCGACAGGGGAAACAGAGGGCATGAATTCAGTGGAAGGCATAGAGAAGGGGTAGGTGGGGTTTAGATTTGGTCCGGAGGAGTCAAATCTGATCATGCCCAATCCTCCACATATGGAGTCGGTAGTAGTACTCCTGGTCATCTCGACCGCGGCTGATGCCAGTGGCGCCGCTTGGTCAGCCAGAGATGGATTCGACAAACCAGTAGGGTCTGTCGAAAACTCTGGCAATGGTGCTTGCAGTTGATGCTGGAGTCCATTCGAAGCAGGGTCCGCAGAGAGGGCCAGCGACAGCGTAGATACGTTCGGCCGGTCCTGAAAGTCGTCCAAGTACTGCCTAGCATATTCGGACGGCGAATATTCGTTGACATGGTCAAGTCGAAGCTGGGAACGATGAGGTCCGTAGGATTGCCGATGTCCCAAAACACTAGGGGCCAGTGGTTTTCGGTGGGAGACCGGAGTCTGCTGACTCTGCGATCTAGCCATGGCTGTGTGCCGGACAGAGGACCTAGTAACCGATGGGAGAGAGGAGTCGTCCGTCTGAGAAGTCATTCCAGCAGATTTCAGATCGGTTTCGGGGGCTGCTGGCGAAGACGCGTGAGAAAGCTCACGAGTCAAGTCAACGGTCACTGGTGGCTCCGGTGTCTGCCAAGTGTCAATCCATGGACTGTCGGCGGGGGAGTCAAGAGAAAGAGGATGGAGTAGCGCAAGAGAAACATGGTGGGTTATGAACGGAAGGTGGAGAAGAGGCGGGAGCAGGAGACCAAGATAGATCACATACGGTGACTCGTCGTTTTGTCGGAGGAAGACCAGAACCAGGGAGAGTCCGAGGAGTATCCTGTCGAGTCCGTTTCCCAGATTTTTCGAGAGATGAACCAGTGTCAGGGATGCCAGAGCCGGGAACTGGACGGTAACTGGATGACGCCGTTGCCGGTAAGAACTGGCTTAACCGCTGACTCCAAAGACGATTGCGCTCTGATTCCGGAAGGTGGGAGTGTCGAACCAAAAAAGCGTCCCGATACCCAGAGATGGCCCTTGTGAAGAGTTCGTCGTCGGCCATGGTGACTGCCATCGCAGGGGGATGATCCTTTGCAAGCGCCTCTCCAACAGAGCTCATGGGGATAGCTGCTATCAGTATCACACGAGATTGAGGAAGAGGGAGTTATTCTATATGATAAACAATTAGTACCGGAAATCAAACAGATAACAGGAAACGTAGAAGAGATAGATCAGACGATTGACGGGCTCGGGGAAGGAGGGAAGGCTGACTGTGATGGGAAAAGTGTTACCAACAGGCAATATGGTATCGAGGCGCGACACTGAAGGATCAGTGGCTGTGAGGAAGAGAAGACAATAATGGGTTGCCAAAGATGTGAGAGCGCTCGGGATGTATAATGGCTTATTCGGGGAGGGTTGTCGCAAAGATGAAAGAATGAGTATTGAGTGAGAGAAGATCGCGAAGAGGAGGGATGGAATTTAAACGAGGAGAAGAAATGGGAGGGTATGATCGATATAAATGGCGAACTATCCCCACGGCTCGGAGATGCAGTAATGGAAACTTGTGAGAAGTCAAAGGGACGGAAGATCTGTCAGAAGAGAAGGTCTGAATCTGGAAGTTGAAACTTGGGGAGCGACCAGGGTGGGGATGCTAGCTCAACTGCGTGTTGTGAGATGGGTCATTGATGGAGTAATTACTAGATGATTTATCTAGATTCTTTTCAAGATAACTAGCTAGAGAGTCTACTAGAACAATAGATAGATAGCTAGTTAGTTAGTTGGTATTATGGTGTACTAAATAGCAAGTACGATAGATGATATGGATCATGGGGATTGGAGGCAGAGTCGGTGGATCAGCAGCAATCGTCGATGGGATTGACGATGGAGTGCACGAACTTTGGCAGAATCGAAGGTCTGGAACACTTCTGGCTTCTTTTGCCTCATACGATTGGGTTAGAGAAGAAGCCGAATATTTCTTTTTCATTTTTCTGATTTATTTTCCAAATTATTATGCGGATGTTCGTTTGACCTCATAGTCATAGCATTAATTCCAACCGATGGACCAGGACGCCATCCAAAGATGGATAAGGTAAGCTTGGGGGTTACAGAAGAAGGAAAGCTCAGCTTTTAACTATATATAGTTAATCCCTACTTCATCTACCCAACAGCCTAAGGCACTATGTACTAACTTACTACTTGGACTAATTAAGGTCAAATGAACAGGGCTTTATGAGGTGTGAATCATCCCGTCCTCGATCGGCAGAAAAGGGGAGTGTGACATGTTTGGTAAACTAGTGTTACCTGAACACTGCTAACTGGCCAACGTCCATAGCCCAGGGCTCCAGGAAGTGTTCCAGTTGTCCACGGTGAAATGATGAGGTCCCTTTTAGGCTTAGAGAGGACCCAGGCGGTGATGACAGTGGTCAGAAAATAGGTAATATTCTCAAAAAATACAGGGTGAACACGGAGTCTTTCAAAAGTGAGGCAGCGAAACGGATTGCGCCGACCAAACCCCGGGCCATCAGGACAACAGAAAAGGAAACAGGATGCATTGTCCAGTCTTCCGACTCTTAAGATTCAGTCCTTGGAATGAAGAGATGCAATAGAAGACATTTTACTACTGTTATAATCATCAGTGTGATTGGTTTTCATCATCAGGGTCTCTTTATTTTATTATTATTATTGTGTCTTAAGTGCACTGAAAGTTCTAGCAGTTCTGTTGTAGTATTCGTCAAGAATACTTGTAGATGCCTTCTGTGTGGTCTTTGATTCACGTGCCTTTGTCGGAGTGTTAATGGATGATGATGATGATGATGAAAGTGTGTTAGTTCCCCTTCATGATTCTTTCTGTTTATTTCTCTCTTTCCTCATAAATATCCTTTGCCCTTTGTGCATGGCCGTCATGGCTGCACATTCTTCCATCGTCTCCTGAGGGCGCCTACAGCGGTACCGACGAGATCACAAAGTATTGCAGAGACTTGGGGTGAGTCCCTTTCATGGTCACCCTCCAGGCCAGCATCGTTAGGCTCAGCAGTGTCAGCAACCCTTCAGTATGTAGTACTGCCACAGTTTGCAGGCCAACCGGAAGTGACCTGAGTGTACCCTTCGACTCGAGGTCTGCCACGTTGCTAGACTACACCGTATCGGGATCTGTCATTATCATACTTGCTGCCAGTTGCCGGGCATCCCAGTCCAATTCCGCGTTCAGATGACGCTCTAGCCGATGGTCAGATATGGTATTCATACCGTGAGTATTTTCGAGCGCTTGGAATCAGGCCCAGGACCGGTACCGCAAAATGTTGTGCCTCAAATGGAGCGGAAGTTGACTCAAGAGAATTTGGTTCCTGAGGCATCAATGGTTTTGGCTGCCCACAGCAGTCTCCACAAGTCCACAGGCTCCATCAGACCGAACGATACCTTTGAATTTGCATCATCCACCTGTCGTCACCCCATGTCTTTTCAGCCGTGAGATACACATCTTGCGATCCTCAACACACTTAACAGTAATCATGTCGCGAAAATAAACCCATTCCGACCACGGAACTTTCCCGTGGTACCATACGGAAGGCTCCCAAGGATCATATGCCCGGCCGCGTGTGGCCGTTCCCAACTTCAGACAATTTCCATGAACTTGCTGGCAAGTACTCCCTGCGTATCTACCGGTGTGCTCACAATTTGCCTCGAAGTCCGAAGTCGCTTCTCTCTCGATAGGCATGGAATGACGATCCTGCCACTATTGACAGACCGACAGTTCAAGGTTCGAAGTGGGGATGTTGACCAGTAAAAGCCTCACGTGTAACACGTGACCTGGTCATTTCCATGGTCCAGAGGAGTCGCCGTGATCTGTATTCCTGTCTTCTCGCATGAAAGTAGTATGGCGTCTGGGAGATGTTTTGCAACCTACTGCAATTACTCTAACCGGCAAAAGGAGCTTGATACTTTGATATTTGACCTAGTTCTTGGTGCTATCTGTTCTCTAATAGATCATTTTTCCTCACCGCTCCCAAGTGGGTAGTATGGTCTACAAGTCTTGCTCCTTATTTTGTGATGGATATGCTGTTTCGGCTACCGGGCAGTTTCGTTTCAGCTTCCAGATCTCAGGGATGGGAGGGCAAAACCATGAGCGAGGTAGATGAGGTCACCGTGGACCTTGACTCGCCCTCATGGCTACATAATGGCCATGATAGGGAGAGCGTCGTATGAGCGGAGTCAGTTGTACGGAGTACAGCGTTGTAATTCGTTGCTGACAGTGGTTACACGGCGCATACTCTAGTACCGGTCTTCATATCGACAACCACTACGGAGTAACTTCCTGGAATCACTCGATTACAACCTACAATAGATGATACTGATCATGTATCATCCACACGGAGTCTCAGTATTGTACCACATCCTTGGCAGACGCTCATTATAAACGCTGCTGTGAGTTGACGGTGAGCCGTATCTAGAAGGAAAGGATCGCAATCAACAGGGGCCTACCTACTCCATAACCAAAAATAGGCTCAACAGTCACGCTATTCTCTACTTGCACTGGTGGCTTTGCTAAAATTCTGCCCATTAGACCAAAAATGACCTGACTCTCACTCCTTGGCCAAGTGGGGCTATCATCTGGCATAGTCTCATAGATCATGGACAATGTATCAGAAATCCCTTGAAGTCGGAAATTGGTAGGCCATCGCATCCCTTTTCACGTTTGACTACTTACTCTATGGCTACTATCACCATCGATCGTAGCAGTTTCATGTGCGCTGGCCCATACACTGATATTTTGCTAGAAACCGCTTCGCAAAACGAAGAGGCAAAGCCACGGCGGCAGAGGGCCCATGACTGATCTTGCTCGAATCAACTACTGTGCAGTATGCACACAATTATTGAGCATTATATTCGCGGAAGCCCCATTCTGCCTCCGGACACTGGGCCGGACATAAGAACAAACTCAGGACTTGTTCATAATGTCATCGGCTGTAAGGTGCCTCAGCTCAAGCCTCCAGCTCGAGCATGTCTGAACCCAACTGCCCGAACTAGACCTTTCTGCCTGAAGTCTTCAACAAACGTACGAGATGGCCTTGAAGTTTAACAGGGCGTCGACAGCTTGGAACTAGTCCTTCATGTCTACATGATATCAATAACTTAGAGTTTCTCGCCTAGTTTGGCTATGCTGGTGCCCCAATCTGACCACCATCTTCTTTTGGCGAAGTACATAAGGTGTAGGAATTCTGTTGTCTGGCGAACTGGTCAACTTTTGCCTTTGTCTAGATTCATCTTCGACTCAGCAGGCTATGTCGATGGACAGATTTGGAAGGCTGACTACAGATGGCTCAGCTCTAAGCCTCGTCGCAAAGTTGGCCTTTATATAAAAAGTGGCAAGGAACCATTTTGTTGTGTTGCCCGATGGGTATCTACAGGGTCAGGTGTCAACCGACACCCCTTCAGCCTGTACCGTCTGGGTGAGGCTCAGGCTTCTGTGTTATTGATGACGCGTCTAAGGGAGAGTTGAGAAAACCCAGCGAGGACTTGAGCATTAAGACAAGATCCTTGCAATATCAGGGCGTGATGCAAAGCGACGGCATGCTACGGAGTCCGGGGTTTTGCGCTCAGGCCCGTTGAGAGTCAGTTTGTGCTATTTCTGCACTTTTCCCCCTCAAGATCTGCTATCACTTGAGTGATCAGGTAGAGCTTTGGCAGATTACATTTTTGAGAAGGTAGCGTTGTCGTCTAAGTACCGTGGTTGTCGAGGCTGCGCTGACTGGTTGATGGTCAGATCCTTTCGCGCTCTTCATTCGTTGGTCAGACCTGGGCTGCAGAAATATCTCCAATCGCCAAAATTAGTATCTCTTTTCGGACTCTTTCAGAACAGAGTGAAGTACCTTTTGCTCGGCTATCAGATAGCCTTCCCCTGCTCCCTTTACCACCTTGCAAATTCTTCTCCGTGTGGATAAGTGAAATTTACAACTTCATCATCAGTTTCGCTCGTCCAAACTCCTCTAGCGCGAGAAAATCCTCAAGCTGTTGACTCGCCCTTCTAACCGTCGTGGGATGCTCAGACATAACCTCCAACCCTGTGATAGCTCTTCTGCCATCATCGCTTCGCATGACGGACGAATGGTAGAGTATTCATACTGGGGAGTGGATTTGACAACGCATCCATAACGGATATAAAATCCTGCGAAGTGGATCACGAAGGGATCAGCGCGGATAAGGTTGTCATTTTGAACTGGTGACTGACGATTTCGGATTTTTCGCTGCTTTTTGTTATGTCGATGGGACCGAGTACCTTTCCTTCGACTGTACAACATTTCCATAAGACTCTCTGCCGTTGATCCAACGATACTGATAGAAATTTCGCTGGAAAAGTGTCACTATAACAACTCCCAGCATCTCCAGTCCTCGCTCTCTAGCCGACCAGACAGATTGCGTCATATTGTAGGATCTATGGAGCACTCGCATGCGACCAGTTCCCAGTACAAACCACTTCAGTTCATCTCAGCATTCAGGATTTAGGACTCAAATCAAGGTCGTCAACGGTACCCGAAAATGGCTAAATGGAGGAGGGATAACATTAGAGTGGAAATTCATATGAAGTATCTGCAGTCAATTTATCTACTAGGCAAGCCGATCTCAGTTTGCCTGCCCTAAGACAATCGCCCTCAATCAATACCATGGCGCCTATGATGTACCAGTGAAGAACAACCCAAGGATAGATAGCAAGATGTCCATCATGCTGGAAATGGGTGGAAGTGTCCGCCTGACGTCAGATTGCCACGCTTTAAGTTTGGGTGTCCCATAGAATCGCAGTTTCCGCTGGAGATTAACTCTGGAGGGGAACTACGGACAGAACCAGCTTGGGTCCTTCGTAGGCAATATTTAAGAGAACCGTCACTCTTTCTGATCATTACCATCTTCATCTATCGCGGCTGAGATAGTTTTCCGATGTTAGTTGTGATTTCATCTCGATTGAGCATCAACTGTCACTGTTGCAAATAACGCAGGAACACGTGATTATTTAACGGCGTTGCTCTGGGCTCCAGCCACGTCATAGGGCCCTTTTCCGTTCTCCTTCTCAAAAGATAACAGATTCTTGGAGAAAAAGGAGGAAAAGGAGGAGAAATATTCCGCTTCGATCCCACCAACCACCAAATACTCAACATCTCCTTCGTACCGTCACCACCTGTTACTTTGTCTCTCACACATTCCGACATCAACAATGTCCGACTCTACTCTCTATCTCTACACCTCCCTCACTGCGGGGTCATCCCACATCGTCACCGCCACTGCACGGTTGGAGACGATTCTGAAGGCCAACAAAATTCCCTTTCGCGCAATTGACGTGGCTACCGATGAAGTCGCTCGTAAGTTGTGGGGCCGTCGTTCCAAGGGTAAAAAATTGCCTGGACTGGTGAAGTTTGGCACAGTTGTCGGTGTAGGTCACTCCTGAAACCCCCCGAATGAAAGGCTGCAGAGCTATCGACGGAGCTACGTGACTAATAGTTTTGATTCATATAGGATCTCGAGGAAATTGAGGAGTGGAATGAATACGGTGAGCTGAGGATGCAGATTGATAGCGTGGAGGATTTCGACAGCATCCCTGCCACCAGCTACCCAGTCTCAACCTCCCAGACAAACACTGGATCTGCTACCCCACAGCCTGCGACAGAGAGCGCAACCCCGAAGCAAAGCACAATCAAAATCCAGAGCCCACCGGCGAAGGAGAAGAAGGATGATTCGGTGACGCTCGCCTTGCGACAGGCGGGCGAGGAGGCTGTGGCAAAGGCCAAAGGCAACACAGGCGCAGATTTCAAGAAGGACAACACCTCCGCAGATTCAGAGGAGCAGAAGAAGCAGTCCTCGAGCAGCGGGGAGAACAAAGGAGGAGAAGAAACTGTACGTCGGCGATCGGTGGTTCCGGAAATTGTCGGGGGCGGTGGAGGGCGTCCACCTTTGAAAGTGCCCGAGTGCGCTGCGGAATCATCTGCCAATTTCCGTGCTGATAATGCTGAAGCTCTAGGATTGGTTCAACATCATCGCGGCTCCATTGTCTCCGCAACTTCCCCAGAGGAAATGGAGAAGGTGGCCCAGGACCTGCGCAAATCTATTTCCGGTGGCCACGAAGATATACTAGCGTCTTTGAAGAACGAACAGGCGGAGCGAGCGGGGCAGGAAGAGACAATCGAGGAGGAGTCAGATGGGTCCGAGAATGACGAGCGTGGTGAGAAGAGTCATCGTCAGAAAACCCAAAAACAGGATATTAAGGATGCAGCGAAAGCGACAGAGAGCGTTGAGGATTAAGGCATGGTCACAGTCGCTTCGAACATTGTTCAGCCATATGGAGTATTTTCCTTGCGTGGTTCCTTTGTGTATGATACCAAGTTGCATTTCTAACTCGCTGTGTGTCTCATGCGATACGTGATTATAGTTGTGACATGCTTATCATAATCTAGATTATCCTATGCCAAGTTGCTGTAGCATTCTCTCCCATCCCTGCGCTGGCAGTCATGTCGAAATTTTGGAAGGTGCAGATTGAAAATAGTACTGAAAATAGAAAAAATCATGATCGATTTATATCGATGTATATGTCTTATGTCTGGCGGCGCTTGTTAACAGCCTCGCGCAGCTTCGCAATGACGTCGGCAGGGTCCTGAGCGCCAAATACCGCCGAACCAGCGACGATAACGTTAGCCCCAGCATCCGCAGCCTGGTCAATTGTTCCCAATCCCAAGCCACCATCGACCTCAATGTTCAGATCCGGGTATCGCTCACGGAGAGCCTTCACTTTGGGAAGCTCGGAGGCCATGAACTTCTGACCTCCAAAACCGGGGTGTACTGTCATGACGAGAACCATCTACAACATCAGTAACTCGTTAGCATGGAATTCGGGTAGTCTATGCGTCTCCCATGAGTGTAGATAGCGGAGGCTTACATCGGGCCGTTCTTTCTCATCCTTGTTTTCCAGGATATCCCACAGGACATCGACGGGGGTATCGGGCTTGATGGCAATGCCCGCCTGCATGCCCTCGTCGTGGATATAGCGGATGAGCTCCTTCGGGCTTGTCGGACGGGTCGTCTCTTTGTCTTCTGGGGTAGTGGCGGCGACGGAGGAGACGGCGGCTTCGTAGTGGAAGCAGTATAGATCGCAACCGGCGGATTTGAACTCCTTGACCCATTTATGGGGCTGTCAAAGGCATTTCAGCATATTTCTCTCGCAAGGTGTGAAGCGTTGGTGTAAATTCGTTGTGAGGAATGGGCGCTCACCTCCATGATCATCATGTGGCAGTCAAAGGTACCCTTTCCAAGGGCTTGGGTTGGCCGGTCCACATGAGACCGGATCTTGGTGACAACGGGGGCGCCAAAGGTCATGTTGGGGACGAAGTGGCCGTCCATGATATCAACGTGCAACCAATCGGCCCCCTGGGCGATCTTCGTTGAGCACTCATTGCCCAGGACCGCGAAATCCGCGCTCAGGATAGAGGGAGCTATGATGGCTGGAGGAGACATGGTGGGGCTAGTGATAGAGGGGCTTGTAGATGTACTTGGTACTGGGAAGTTGGGAGAGGGAAGATGGAGTATAGCAGTGTATGAGGAGGTTGTGGCAGAATGAAAGCTGTACAGAGTAATCGGCAGGAGATGAGTACCTATCCTCGCAAGACACAGCTAGGAGAGCTTTCTGGAAAGATGCAGCTCTAGCTAAACAAGAAAGAAAAAATAACATAAGCATATCACCGCCGTTCCCGGTCGACGTCAGTCCGACGATCGCAGTCTGGTCGACGATAAGGGCTAGGGTCGAAACCTTCACGTGGGACGTGGGGCAGATCCGTCCGTGGGGGCCTGCCAGCCTGCCAGCCTGGATGCCTGAACCGGGGTTGAGACTTGAAATCGATCATCCGTTGATCGCGCTGTCGGCCTTCTTAGGGATATTAGCCATGATGCAACCTCGACCGCCATTTCATCTCGAAGTCGATGATTTCTATCCGCCGTTGACTTGTCATTGGATCATGGCCTAATGAGCTGGTGTCGTTGCCTTATTGGGCTCCCCTTCCTGCGATAGGATGCCCATTTCCGTTATTCCTCCAAGTGGTGACCACTGAACAGCTCCGTATTTTACCGCCCTTCCAGATCATGATGGAGGGGTAAGGAACTTTCAAGCAAGAAATCCCGCGATACACTACCCAGAAGGAGTCAATATCAGGGAACAATTTCCATCACGGAGGCATTGATTGTTGAGTCATCATTCTGCTTGTCTGCACGAAGCCTTCTAAACATAGCTACTCGGCGCTTGCGTCGCACCAATCAGTGCCTTTCCTCATGTGAACAATATGCAAGTTCACCTTGAGCGCTTCGTTGCAGACTTCTCAAGCTTCATTCTCATCCTAATTGGTGTGTTCAAGGCTCAAGAGCTCTAAAATTCTCCCTGATTCGGTCAAAGATGTCTGGGCTGTTATCATCGGCGACGCGCCTGCTACACAACCACCAATAGTGGTACCTTTATCTAGCCTTTCTCAAGGATTCCCTGTCACAAGGTGCGCGATGGTGCAGTAGTTTCTGCACGGATGGCTGCTGGTGTGAAATGATGATGATGAGATCCTCAGAAAGCCCCATTTGCCTCCGGGTACGTGGTTCTATTTAGCAAGGTCGTTCGCTACGACCTCATTTTCTGCACCTAGTCCTCAATCGTGTTGTTCTTTTCTCCTTTTCTGCGTGTTCTGATCGTACCTTGAGCTCTGGAAGCTAGGGCCCCATTCGTTGACATCGTCCTTTGAGTTGTTGATGCTGGCAGACCCGTTGATCGGTGTCGCTTGTGATTGAGATACCCTAGAAGTACCGGTTGATTTGCACAATTTCTCCCATTTTCACGGATCATAATCATTGAAAGGAGGGGATAAATCTAATAGGGAAATCAACAGACAATATCGCAGCACAAGATGGCTGACGCTTCTCGGGCTTCAACGAGATGCCCGCCCCCTCGGCAGGTCCGAGGGACGAAACTTAATACCATAATGGAGGAAATAAGCGAGGGTCAGGATTCGGACAAGATTGAGAAAGATGATGCTGGGTTTCATTCGACCACCTCAGGTCCGCGGCTAAAACTCATGACCACCGGTCTCTCTGGCCTTTCCCTCTCAAGGCTGAATCGTCTTCGCTCGCCATTATCAGCAGGCACGCTGTCATCTTGCTCGGATACGGAATGGCAGCGACAGATGCAGAGCTTGGATGATCTGTATGACGTGACGGATGAGGACTCCGAGTTGAGCGACGAGTGCACTTCATTCTCAAGCTCCCGACCGACGAGCCTCACAACTCCCACTACAAGGAATTCAATTATCTCGCCCGTCAATCGGAATCGCTACCCCAGCCTCACAATACCCTCACCCACCACGTGGCCCTCCCTACACAATGCGCCGAAGAGTTCTCCAGTTCCTCCAACACCGCCGCCGAAGATACCTGTGTCACCTGCTGCTCTGTCCATGCTTGCGAGAACAGTACCAGCTCTGAATGCGCCTCCATCCTTGGATGGCAGTGTGTCTTCGGATCAGATCTCCAATAGCAGCGAGCCAGTAACTCCGGACTTGCAATCCCTTCCAGATACTGACTGGAATGGCCGAGATGTTCACGTACGGCCAGAAATGATGGACAGTCAACATGCGGACATTGACGCCGATGGGATTGACCCAGAGGTCCAAAGCATTGAGATAGCCATTGAGAACCCGGATGAAGATTGGCAACACGTTCTCGGCAGCTTTCCACCTATTCCCGGTCAGTCTTCGTTGCCATCGGATGGAGGTGTTTTTCTTCCTGAAGATGCCCTTGCAACCTTGAGACACATCCCATTGGGCGGCACACCGGAGCCTTGGTCAGAAACTTCTGCTCAGAACGAAGAGATGTGGCAGCTCGAGTTACCTGTCGAACGTCCTCGCAGTGCCGATGACGCGACTCCAGCCTCAGCCCTCTCCGGATACAGCTTCAGCGGGCTCAGTATACCTTCTCCCGGAGGATTCTTCGCATCACTTGGTCCTCGAGCTCGTCACACTTGGTCAATCCCAAGAACGGCTATGCCACCGTCTTCTGCCATTGCGGAAGGGTTCTACAACCTGCCTTTTGTTCGCCATGACGGAGAAGTAGTCGAACAAATCATTGAATGTCCTGAGCCATGCACCGAAGAGCAATTAACTGCGGTCTATGTCCCCGAGGGACCGCCAACTGCAATCAAGATACCCTCGGAGGCACAACCGTTCCCCCTGGGGTATCAAGACAGCCCTGTGAGCCCCGTAGCTGATGCAGTGCACGAGATTTCAAGACCCGCTACCTATTGCGAGAACCAGGATCGTGATGAAAATTACGAGGAAGAACTGAAAAAAAGGGCAATGTCGAGCCTGGATCGGACGAGTGTCTGGTTGGCGGCGCAGCAGTCCTATCTTGCTGCACTCCGCGAGACTAACCCTGTCAACTCCTTGGAGAATGAAGAGCCGGACGAACCCAAAAAGGCTCAAGATGATTGTGAGCAGAACGCCCCTGGGTTGTGTCGCAAAAAATCTGTCCGCTTCGCCGAGTCAGTGTCTGAAGCAGCCAGACCACCTTCTGCCTTGGCGAGTAAAGATTCAATCTATTGGCGAGGCTTCCAATCGGTGCTTGGGTTTTCGACTCGCCGAGACAGCTTCATTCATCGCAACACGCGCTTTGACGCTGTGCAGTCGATTCGATCAGGTTTGCTCAGCATGCATATCAACTGTTTGCTGGGAAATTACGAGCTTGTGCGCCCCGAACGACCGCCCTACAAGGGTCCATTCGCCCAGGCTCCCCGCAATTCCGTGCTTACATCGGTCTTGGCAGAAAAGGCACAATTCTCCATTCTTGAGAAGGAGCAATTGGTCTTGTCTCAGATTCGTCCGCCCATGTGGGCCATGGACGCTCTCAGGTACCTGAACGGCGGTCATCTAGTCACCAGTCCCGTCAGAAGGCGTCTTTCCACAGCCACTGCACCATCCGCGCCTCTGCAAAGACCTAGAGGACGCCGGGTGAGGGTTCTGGACCTGGGCGGACACGCCTCGTGCGAATGGGCATGGCAACTTGCGCATGATTATCCCAACGTCAAAGTCTACACTGTTTTTACTGAGCACCAAGTGGTCAACCATGGCATCAAAGGGCCGTCTAATCATTGCCAGATTCCCGTGTCACAACTTTGGAAACTACCATTTTCGGACAACAAGTTCGACCTGATCTCGGTCCGATCACTGCCTGCCTTGCTGAAGAACGAACGTCCGATCGGGGAGACGCAAGATGAGTACGACCTTTGCCTACAGGAGTGCCGCCGCTGCCTCAAGCCTGGGGGTTATCTGGAGTTCTTCGTGATGGACGCCGAGATTTCCCGCGCAGGACCGTATGCCTCCGCTGCTTCGGTTGAGTTCGCGTTCAATCTCAAAACTAGAGGATATGACCCGACACCAACAAAGAGCTTTCTCTCTCGCTTGCGAACCGGAGGCTTTGTAGGTGCAAAGAGGGCATGGATGTTTCTGCCTATGGGTATAGAGCCCGTAAAAGAACAAATTCCCAGAGAGACACCAGACCCTCGAGTCAAGAGCTGGATCGACGAATACGAAGCTGTACACGGGCCTGTTGGCAGCACGGCTGACATCGCCAGCGTGACAGGTCTCTTTGGGGGCTGGATGTGGGAACAATGGCTTCTCAAATTGCAAGTTGAGATGGGTCGTGAGCGACACCGGTTGCTCGAAGGTATCGGTAGCGTTTTTGATGAGGGGCGCAAGAATGGAGCAGGCTGGACCTGCCTATCTGGATGGGCGATGAAGCCGAAGAGCAAGAGGCTGCCCTCGCGTCTTCGAATCGATTAAGTGTTTTGTCTGATCTGAGAACTGGTTTTCTCAGACTACACTCCCTTTGATGATCCCTTGTCGTTAGTCGGACCAAGTCGGTCTTATAGTTTGATACCCCTATTGCCCTGGCGGCGTTCTATAATGTAATTATGATTGAGGACTATCTTTCTGAACACATGTCTGAATCACCTGGTTTGGGAGAGCGCGAGATCTGATCTAGAATTCAATTGATGGTTTGTATGACACCTGCTATGTATTGAACACAACGTACATCAGCAACATAGACGCGCTTGCTGAGTAAGATCTTAGACATATAACCTTAGTGACAGGGGTCGCCGTCATATTAGTTCTTAATCGCACCTCGAGTTGGAGGTTACCTATCGACAATCTCTTGACGAAGTTATTCGTGTGCCTGCAGTTAAACCAGATAAAAATCACGTGATGAGGTGCTTCTGAGTTCAACCCGACCGACGCAATGCGACATGGAATTCAAAGTCATCAACTTCAAAACATTCTGCCCTTCGCGTTTGCTGATTCTCACCGAAGAGGGACACAGGAGACAATATACCATCTATTTATAAAGCTTGAGAAGCAATGCGATAGCGCCTTGATTTTTCCCTCGACTACCCCTCCATCGCCCTAACGTCGCAACCATGCTTTTCTTCAGGTGTG